CGTCCCCATGTTTTTCGGTTGCCGTCCCTTTTTTTGGCGATTACCTCGGGCTGTTGTCGTCATTTTTCGAATATTGCAAACTTCTTCCAAATTACATCAACTCTGATTGGTTATGAAGAAAATGTCGTGGGATTTGAGCCAATCAGAAAGAAGAGATGATAATTGTCACCCGTACTTATTAAGTGTAATTAATGACGTGATTTATGAGAGTGATAGCGGAGCTCTCACGCGCACTAAGCGCGCAGCTGAGCACCATGGGTGAGAAAAAATGGTAACCTATAAAAGCGAGATATTTTGGTAATCACATGACCGTCCGTTCGTACGTCCGCCCCTTAGCCGTTCTGAAATTTCTTAGCCTATCACCCATGCTTTTTAGCTCATGTCCGGATAGAGAACAAAGCCGAGTCTTTTTTTCGACTAAATTTTAATTATGTTTACACAAGGGGGATAACAAAGAAAGCGCTAAAGCGTGAGATAAAAAACGAAGGAAATGTATTTCGTTACAAGAACAACATGAAAATTTTATAGCAGTGGTGAGAAATTCAAAATGGGAAAAGCTAGCGACCAGCGGGGCGAAAATGAGCGGCAGTGAAAAAAAATGCGAACAGGAACACAAGCAAAGTCTTTTTGAGCACATACGACATTTGTGTGAGCACACACGACATTTCATCCATAAAACGTGTATTTACTAGGAAGTTTGTCAAGTTTCCCGTTGTAGTCGTGCAGCAAAAAAGTCAAAGAAATGTACAAAAAAGCGTGATTGCTCAGTTTTCTTGCATGTTTTCAATCGAATTAATATCAAGCACAGATTTGTAAGATTCCTTCGGACTGGTTTCAAGTTTATTTTTTGGTCAAGTGTATAAACGAGAGCTTCGCTGTTAGCCGTGGCTAAATGTATATAGCAGATTTAAAATGGTGCTCTCTATTTTATACTTATCTAGAGATTTGTAATATCGCTCACTCGTTTACGTCGCACGCAGATCGTCACATATTATTAAGTTGTTTAAAAGTTGATTCACTGGATTTTTTTGATGTGTTGTTGTTGTTGTTTTTATACTTCTGAAGGTGTCTGAAAACAGTTTTGCGGGCGGTCAGCGGTAACTCACGTGAAGGCGCGTGTTTTAAATTAGACAAACAAACATGGCGGCGAAAAAAGCGATGGTACACAGAAGACGATTTCTCAAAATCTACTCATTAAAATTTTGTGATATTTGCCAGAATTTTTACTTCTATCGTATTTTAAAAAATGAGAACTTTAAAATGGAAGTTAAACAAACGAATTTTGTGGCAAATTTAATAGTTACTATTATGGTGTATGCTTCACACGGCAGGTATGTCCATGCCGGAAATCTCAGTCCCATCATTAGGTCGCAATATATAAGCCGCCTCCAAGGCCTCTTCGGAGGATCCTTGCTGATCCCAGAAACACTGTTCCTTGAATTAAGTGCGGCCAACTCTATCCCAGACCATTACGGTATTTTTTTTTAATTCGTTTATGCGCAGTGCGTTTCGCCGCTCTGTTTGCCGGGAAGTTTTCACGTGAAATTTCTCACTACGTCGGTGGCTTCCAATTTGCACACAAATCTTTTCATCGCTGTGCGCTGTGTTTCCTTTTCGACTTCTTTCTTCTTTTTTAACATATTGGTTTTTATACGTTGGGGCTACCTAGACAATACCAGCGAGGTGAGGAAAACAATTCTTCTTAGACATCTTTATGTATTTATTTCCATTACGTGATCTCAAGTCACAGATGTTCTCGTAACTTTTAGAAGAAGAAAAAGAAAAAGTTGCAGATTCAAAAATATCCGGATACGTGTGGACGGGGCCTAAGAAAAAAAAAAGGGCTTCATCATAATTTTCGCACAAGCTATGATAATGCTTTCTTCGGATTTGTTTTCTATTCTGCCTCTGGATTAACTCTAAACTTTACTTAAGCTTGCCTTTTTAAATATAGAAAGGTTTGTGCCTAATTTTTGTTAGTTAAGGTCTACATGTAACACTAGTTTCGCTGTGAATGCAACTGACAACACGCAGTCTGTACATGTGTAGTCAGGTCATGTTGACGTTGACAAACTGCAGAATAATAGTTTAAGTTATCTTAAGAAAAAATAAATGAGGTATTCATTGTTTATACAGGCCTGGGGCAAGTTGTTCAAAGCTGGGTTAAAATAACCCAGGTTTAGTTCGAAATGTGAATTCAGATGTGAAAGGTTAAAAAGCAAATTCATTTTAATTCTTTTGGTCAACAATTTAATGATTGGCTGCTCTAAAAAGAATAGAGAAAATTGTCCGAGAAAATGGTTTTGATGAAAAGAAAAAGAGTCCCAGGCTAAAATTTAACCCTGGGTTAGCGCTAATCGGTCTTCGAACAACTGGGCCCTGTGTTTTAGGCACGTGTACACGAATTCGGATACGCTGAAACCGCATACTTGATATTTGCGTCAAGACGAATTCAGTGTGGTGTATTCGGTTCGAATTCACCCATCCAAAAGAATACACTATTGCGATTTATACCCGGGGAGTATTCCCGTATGTGCCGTCCCAAGGCGGACCAAGACTGGACCCGAGCTTATGACGTATTTGACTTTAAAATTATCTGGCTTCAGTCGTCTTCTCAAATTCACCAGTCTCTAGAGCGCTTTCGGTGTGCAGGTTCTCTTGTTGAAAGTTCAAAGAAAGTTCCTAGAATTTCCGGCAGCCTTTTTTCTGGCTGAAATTTTCCAAAACGTAAGTTTTGATCCCTATAATTTTCGGATCACTAGACTTTCAGCTAGGAAATTCGAACAGATGAAAAATTTTTAGGGGATAAAAATAAGCCTATATCTACCGTTTAAATACTAGAATGCGTTCAACAATGCTATTTTTAAGTGGTTTTGAACTATATTCTCGTTGGGTGCCCCTGAATTGATTACGTTCATAAGCAAATTGGGGTATTGTACAATAAAACTGGCCTTTTGAAAGAATGGAGGAGTGGGCTTGGAAAATTTATTTCGCGTATTAGTTTGTTTTGCAACAAACTACTGAACTACCGCGATCGAATCTGATTTCTAACTGTTTGATATTAATAAAGAAAATATTCACTCGAAGCCTCAAGGTTTGCTGGCAGATTATTTCTCCCTAAAATCACCAGTCCTTCAACTGTACGTAATGTTAACTACAAAATTGGAAGATTTTTTTGCAGTGGTTTAAGTTTAAATTCTGTTTGAGTAAATTAGAAGTTTATTAAAGAGAGCTTCGCTTTTAGCCTTGGCTAGATCTTAATTTTTTCAAATTGACTGATATCTGGTCGCTACGAGTTTCGCGCTCACACCAGTCATGACTACTGTTTTACTTTTAGGGAGAGGGAGAGGAAAGAAAAAGAAAAAAGGAAAGTCCGAGGGTAAGTTATTTGAAAGATATTTAAAAGCAGTAATAAGCATAAAGTTTTTCGGTCTATGCCATACTCTGGTATTTCTTCCGGTAAGTTAACATTATCACCATAACCACCACCAACACCACCACCACCACCATCATCATCATCATCATCATCATCGTCATCATCATCATCATCATCATCACCATTAACATCGTCATCATTATCATCATCATCATCAGCAGCAGCAGCAGCAGCATCATCGTCGTTTTCGTTATCATCATCATCACCATCATCTTCATTATCGTGATGTTTTTCGGACTTTGCGACCTTGACTTTGAATGGTTGCTTAACGTGAAATTCGAAGCCTGGGACCAGGCTCCGCAGTGGGGGAAAAAGGCAAAAAATGGGGTCAAATAGGAAAAATATCTGCGAGCGAAGCAAGTCGAGCAGTTGCCAGGGGTGGGGGAAAGGGCAAAAGAGCCTGAAGACATGCCTTTGATGCCGCCGTTCCATGATACCAGATTCTCTGATTGGTCAAATGTCTTCATGATGACAGATTCGCGGTGCTGTTGACAGTATCGCGCTCTTTCAATATCACGCTAATATATTTTTGTTTTTATTGAGTATGTACAATAGAAATGCATATTTTCAAACAATACTACGGTGTGTGTGTCCTATGTCAAACCTGTAAAACAGATTACCTTTCTTTGACATTCGATTACAATAACATCTGCAGTGATTACTAAAGATTACCCTTCGTGGCAGGCGTTTGAAAGGGAAGGGAAAGGGAGTTTTAGGCGCGAGAGAAACGCGAGGGGCGCGTGGTCTCGCGCCCTAATTCCCTTCCCCTTTCCCTTCCCCTTCGAACGCCTGCCACGCAGGCTAACTAAAGATCGATTGAAGGTGATCTCATTATCAACTTTAAGCTAGATAAAATTTACTGTGACGTAAATGTTATCGCCGAAAAATGTTTGCAGTATTTTTTTTGCAGGAACCTATTTTTGCGGATCACTGGAAAATCGCAAAAATTGGAACCCAAAAACGTCGGCCACACAGTATCTGAGTCCCAGTTTACTGAATAAAAATGACTAAAACGTGGGGTCAATTATAAGGGTAATTGTATCACTATCCACTGGATAGCGTAATTGGTTTTTCTAATACTTATCACTGGATGGTGTTATCCATCTTTTGAACAACCGGGCCCTGACTGTAATATGATGGGTGACCAACAAATAGCTATCATAATCTTGTTGCACACAACAAACTTAAAGGCAGGTTTCAAACCTCCACGACTAGGATGAAAGAGGTAAGTTACAAAGAAAACAGAACGTAAATATTTTTCCTTACAAATGTTTATCTTACTTAATCTTCACTTTAGAATAACCATAAGGTCATTAAATTGGGGACTTCTGGCCTCGGATGTTCAAACGTTGGATAGCGCTATCCACCGGATAAATCACTGTTCAGCGGATACGTATTAAGAAAACCAATTGCGTTTTTTGATGGATAGATTTTAAACCGGTGGATTGCGCTATCCAACGTTTGAACAACCTGGCCCAGAAGAAATGCCATGGCAACCAAAACATTTACAGCTTCGAGTGGAGGTGGGGTGGTGCAGTTCTGTTAATTTTAGTTTCCATTTTGCAGAACTTTTCGTATCTGTGATGACGATGGCTCAAAGAACATGAACTTTGAAGAGTTTAAAGGGGGTCTTAAGGATTATGAACTTGATCTGTCAGATGAGGTATGGACTGCAATTTCATATTACACTTTTATTGCCTTTTGATGCAAAAATAATTCAGCAGATACAGTCAAAAAAATTCGAGTAAAAAATGTTCTTTCGCAAATGATTAAGACGGAATGCATTAGGAAATTGAATAATTTTAACTTTCAGTGGACAAAAACCTTTCATCAGAATATTTTAAGCCATATCGCATTCCTTTTTACACTTTTCAAGGGCTATAGATGTAATTAGTTATCTGTTAGTAATAACACAAAAGAAGATTTCTTACTTAAGCCCGAGAAAGTAAATCTCAAATTTCACAGGAATTGAGAGAACGGAGGTAAAATTGATAGCTATAAGATTTCATTTTGTGGAATTTGAATACTGAGAAGGAGATGTTGGTAAAAAGCATAAGACAAAGAAGTTAATGTAAAACAATGCTAACCGAGCGCTGGTCAGTTTGTTTGTGTTGTTTATTTAAGCTTGAATTCTAAGCTAAAAATTATCACTCTGATTGACAACATTTTTTTTGAAAGTAGAAATTACTAGCAAATAAAATAACAATACAATCTATTTTTTAATGCAGGAGGTTACAGAGCTGTTTTCTTATTTTGACAAGGATGGATCTGGTCAAATCAGCTTTGATGAGTTTATTGTTGCTTTACCAGTATGTAACATGTTTTAGATTTGTATTCATCACCATTACTTCTTGTCTTTATAATAATAATAATAATAACAATAATAATAATAACAATTTTTATATTATTATTGCCAAAGAGCAGGGCGGCAGCCTATTAGAGCAGTGGGCAGAAAAAATCTCGAATCGATGTAACCGCCTGGGGTGTAGTAATGTAAGGTACTTTTCGTGACATAAGGCGGAACCAAGAATGCATTGTTTTCAATTTTCATTTCAACCTGTTAATCTGCTCCTTTCTTTGAAGGTCTTGTTGGCCATTGCTCTTATAAGGATGCCACGTGTTTTAATAGAGGCTGCCAGATTCTGTTAAGGGAGGCCTCAATAGAGTGTTTTCATATGACGTCACGGCGGCCATATTGGTGTCCCAAAACAATGAAACGGCAGCCATGTTGGTGTCCCAAACCATTCCTTTGGAAGTTGAACTCTTTTCTTATGCACACGCCTCCTTTTGTTCCAATAAAATTGCATAAATGCTGGCCACTTGAGTGAAAAACACTCTATACATACATAGTCCTAGTTTATTTTTTTCCTCCCCAAAGGGGCTTTTCAGGAACAATCATTATTTAAACGTATTACATTTAACTAATTACAACACTCAACTTAGTTCTAATAACAATGCTTTAAATTAGCTACCAACTACAATACTTTTCAAACTTAACTAAGATTACAAAAAAAAATTGTAAAAGTTATCTAAAAGCTGGTTCCTTAAGAGGCGTTTAAAAAATCTGAACAGATTGGCTTAATTTAAGAGAAGGTTCCAAATTGTTCCAAAGCTTAATAGTCTGTAATAAAAACGTTCACTGTTCGGAGGCTGTTCTGTTTAGCGTTCGGCTACTCTGAGTTGTTCGTTTACTTAAAAAAAATGACTTGCTCACGGGTAATAAATTGGGATGTAAGATATTCAGGGGCTTGATCTGTCATGCATTTGCAACTCAAAGAGGCCCATGTGTCATGGCTTACCAGTTCATTTTGCTCATAATGCCAATTATGTGTCCTTATTCACTATCGGACTTACGAAATTACCTGTAAATAACAAAATCACAGCGTTTTGTCAAACAAATACATTTTAGTATGTCTTCTACGCATTACATAGAATGTTACAAAGAACAAAATTAAGGTTAAGGTAACAAGCTTTCAAAAACCACAGGGCTTTCAGGTGTTGGCCTGATATCATAAGCTTTGAATGCGTTATTTTATTCCAGGGAAACTTAGAAGGTCCTAGGTTGGCAGTAGTGAAAGAGGCATTTAAAAGAGCTGACAAGACAGGAGATGGTGAGGTAACCTTTGAAGATTTAAAAGGGTGAGTTGGTTTCAGAGTATCATAAATAAGCCTGTTGATTCAATATTTGCTTTTGACGCCCCAAATTCTTCTCATTTCTCCAAATCCTGATATTTTTTACAACTTTTTCCTATTTCTTGTTGTGTATCCCTTATTACATATAAAGCAAGGAAAACGTTTTATACGGAATTCGTAGATGACAATAGCTGTGATCTTGGGAAGCTGTTTAGAGGAATGAAAGCACCGAAGGATAGTCTTTAGGGAGCTTACGCAAAGACGACGCTGACGTCAAAGAGGAAGTCAAAAAATCAAAAGGTTTAGATTGACAAAACAACAACTTTGCACGTGAATCATGCTTTTTTGTACATTTCTTTGCCGTCGCTGCACGACTACGACGTGAAAACGCTTAATTTAACGTTTTGTGGGGGACGTGAACGCAAGACAACGACTTTGTACTTCGTTTCCTACACTTCGATACAGTCTTTTAGAATTCAACTCCAGAAAAAATTGCAACGTTTGACGAACTGAAAGAGATGGAATAAGCGCGATAAAGACTGAGCAGCGCGTATTCACTTTTTAAGTCACGTTTTCGTTGCCGTCGCCGTCGTTGTTGATTAAGCTCTCCCTTTTGTTTCCCTGACTACCGTGATAATCGCGCTCTGGCTGATGACTGGTGGATTCTTTCGTCGCAAGATCAATAATATCCGGAATGAACTTGGAATCGTCAGAGCCGCTATGAAAGAAGAGGACAAAGTTGAAGACGATCCTGTAGTAATGGAGAATCAGGGCATATAAGAGTTTTGTCAGTTCTCTTGTGAAGATGTCCGCAGCCTCGTCCAGAAGTCAGCTAAAAGACCTGCACCCTCGCCCCAATGCCGACATCTATGGTCATAGCCTGCCTAGAGGAGCTTCTTCCAGTAATAACGTGTATACTAAATTCTTCTTTGGGATCAGGTCATTTTTCCTCTCTGAAAGAAGCTCTTGTTCATCCACGCCTTAAAATATCTGGGAAAGACCGTTTTTAAACCTACGACCTGTAAGTAACCTCCAGTTTATATCAAAACTTGCTGAGCGCACGGTATTTAATCAGGTTCACGAGCATATGATGAAGTTCCAGCTTTATCCATTATTACAATCTGCCTGCCGCACTGGTTACAGCACATAGACCGCGCTGATTAAGGTGCACAATGACATTCTGTTAAGCATAGATAAACAGAGGGTCACACTGCTGGTACTTCTCGAACTAAGTGCGTCCTTTGACTCTGTCAACCACCAGGTGTTGCTCAAGCGATGAGAATCTTGCTTTGGAATATCTGGGACTGCACTTCACTGGTTTAATGTGGGCGGTATTTTGCATGACCCAACCGTTAAGTTCAAATGCACTCTTGGGGACAGATCTTTTGCTGCAGCTGCTCCAAAGGTATGGAATGGTTTATCAGACTATATTAAGGAAGAGAATGATTTTGATCAGTTTAAGAGACTCATTAAGACATGCTATTTTAAAGATGCCTATAGCGACCTGTCTTGAGTTATCGTAGGTTGTTATTTTCAACTTTTATCTTCTATTTTTACTTCTTACTTGTTATTAGTTATACTAAATTACCTATTAGGAAGGAAATGTTTCATTTTCGTAACGCGCTAAATTTCATCTAAAATTTTCGCGAAAACGATACTGAAATCCTTGCAATTTTGAAAAAACGTATTAAGTTTTCCTACGATGAGCGAACAGATGAAGATTTTATAGCGCCGCTTAGAGTGCATTTGTAAAGGTCTTTTAAGACCTTTATCCAGAGTACTTTAAAAAGTACTCTGGATAGTCTTAAAAAAAGTGTTGCCAACGTATTTGGGAGGAAACCGTCGTTGGCTGCCCCTGAGTTTAGCCTGGGACCAAGCTGCGCAGAGGGGGAAAAAGGCAAAAAACGGGGTCAAATACGAAAAATATGGGAGAGCGAAGCGAGCCCAGCGGTGGCCACCCTTTCTCCTACCCAGATCACCTCTCGGTTCGCTTCTCTCGCCTCTTTTCCCCCCGATGGGGAGTCTGGTCCCGGGTTTAAATATGACTTTATAAATAGCCTCCCCCTTCCACGGTTTTTTTCAAGTTTTTGTTAAAGAGCAGGCAGAGAATATCCATTGACACTAGTAAAAAAAGTGCCTTAAAATTGGAGACTTACCAAGATTAAAAGTCAAGCAAGTTAAGATATCAGCCCCACAAAAGTAGCAGAATTTTACAGTGTTTTACAGACGATTTTATCGTGGTGGTCTTTGCTGCGCTATATCTTTGTTAGTTGTCAACTAATCAACTGAAGTTCAAGCTTGGAATCTTTGCTAATTTGAAGGAGTTCGTTCTGACTGTGGTTTGTTTTGACGGATATGAAGTGGACCAAGTCGAAAGTTGAAATAAAAAACGAGGAAGGATCTCTTTCACCATTTCTTGCAGAGTCTACAAGGTCACAGAGCACCCAAAGTACAAAAATGGGGAATGGTCGGAAGATCAGGTGTTTAAAGAATTTTTAAACAGCTTTGAGCCAGACCCGTCAAGCCGAGACGGAAAGGTTAGTTGTGTTTATTGATAGTCATAAAAATGAATAGGAAAGGTGACATTTCCTGACAGGATTTTAACTCTACTGACTTTCTTGACGCTGAGCTTGAGCCTCGAAACTAAACTTATTATCCAAATTAAGCAATCTACGATTTAAATTAGGATGATTTTTGGCAAGTTTACTGATTTGTCCAGCGGTTTAATAATAACTGTCGAACTGAATTTCAACTGGTTAGCTCAGTCTACTGAACAGGAGGTCGCGGATTCAAACCCTGGCCGGACCAACACTCAGGGTCTTAAAATAACTCAGGAGAAAGTGCTGCTTTTGCAATAATAACATCAGCAAACCATTAGACTTTCTAGTCTTCTCGGATAAGGATGAAAAACCGTTGTTCCCGTCTGGCAGCACCTTTACTTATTTGGTTCTTGCGGGACGTAAAGAACCTCAACCACTTTTCGAAAAGATTATAGGGGACGTATACCCCGTTGGTGTGGTATCCTGGGCTGGGCGGGATATCTATAAGGACACACCTAATTAAAATAATTGGAGCCCTGCTATCTGTTGTGTGTTCCACACCATGTGGTGGAAGTAATTAGATAATAAATGAAAAAACTATTAATAACCAAAGGTTACAAAAAATGCGGCCGACAACGATCGGCGCTCCAAACGCTTTTGCTCCAACACTGCGCTTTGCGTAAGTTTCACGTGTCCGATGGTCAAAATAAAACACGTGTGATCAGATTACGAGGGGTAGAAGGTCAAAATGCGCCGGATCAAATTGCGTTTTTTCCTAGTGTGAAGTCTAAATGAATACTGGTTACGTACATGCGACGCATCCGTAATGACAACCTGGAGATTAGGATTGCGGGCGCCTCTTGTCGCCCGCACTAAGTCGTAACAATCTCATTGCATCATTCTAGTTGCCCTAAGTTTCGCACGAACAGTTTGCAGCTCGAACTGTGAGCCTGAGTGTTTATTGTCGTCCGGATAGCTTACAAAGATAAACATAGTAACTAAAGAATGATATACAAACACTACTACAAAAAGGCACTCACGTTAAACTAGTCACATGCGCAGCCAGAAACGAAAACGCAATAAGAACCAATGGATAAAATTGGGAACGTATTTCCCACTGCATGACCAATGTAGTCGCACACCCTCTGGGAATTAAAGATAAAAAGGTCGATAGATAGATATGTAACTGATACAAAAATAATAACAAAAGTCGAAAGTTTGAGAACTGAGATGAATAAGTTACACATGACCGTCTACGGCTCACGTGCGTTCATACCAACGGCAAAGTATTTACATTCCCTATCACTGCCATTAAGTTTAGCTCCGCCTAGTCTGCGATCAAGCTCTCTGGAGCGCTCAAGCGGGGGACGGGAAAAACTCGGGGATAATTCTTTTCCCGCCCCGCCGCCAGAGAGCACCGTACAGCTTTCTCGCAGGCTAGCTCCGCCGAATGTAAATACATTATTTTTAACCTCTAGTTATATTGTTCTTCTGTACTAATTTTTAGGTCACAGAGAGAGAATTCTTGGATTACTATGCTGCGATTGGGGCAAACATTGATAACGACGCTTACTTTGAACTTATGATGAGAAATGCATGGAAGATATAACCATCAGTTTACGTGAAGCTCTTTCTTTGAGAGAGTGTCGGTCTACTTTGATCACTTTGCTAATGCCTCACTTACTTAATTATTGTTACAAAATTTAAAGAAGACCCCATAAATTAAATAAAATAAAATACCTTTCCTTTCTCCGGTGATCGCAAGGCTTGTTATAGTTAAAAATAATTCCTTCTAAGAAGTACCTTCCCTGACGCATGGAAATAAACCTCTTCAACTTGTAGGCACCAAATGATAATAGACCAAGTTACCTACCATGTCAAAGATAATTGAGAGACTTGCACAAAGACAATTTGTTGACTTTTCATCAAGATTTATCAAAATGTCAGTTCATCAAAGTGGCCATAAGAAACGCCACTCAACAGAAACTGCTCTTATGTATGTCACTGATCACTTTTTGAAAGCAACTGGCAAACTGTATCACTGTTAGTATTAGACGCTTAATGACTGGCCACGAGGTAAACCGTGTTGTTTCCTTGGGTGATTTATTTTATAGCTTGAAGTTTTGAAGCTGGAAATTCATTAAACCTCGCTTTAAAGTGGGTTGTCGGTCAACATTCGCTGGTGCACTGTTACCCTCTGACGTCATAGATTTTGCAATGTTGTCCGCGCTGAGATTTTGACAGGAAACAGTTTTATTGTTAGCTGTCATGTGATCTGGAAGTAACCAAAGAGAGCGAGCGCAGTACGTTGGGAAGAAATTTCCAGCTAAAGTGAAACCTCTATTAAGCGGACACCTTCGGGACCTTCCCAAGTGTTCGCTTAATAGAGGTTTGTACAAAATGCGCAATGTTTGTTAACAATTAACATTCAACGGTTGCTCTCTCTTGTGATAAAGTTCCATGTTGTCGAGGAAGCTATCAGGAAACTGTGCTGTATTTTGCGAAAGACTTTTAGGTGAGCTGTGATCGCGGATGACAATTATTCGGCCAGATCGGTCTAATCTACATGCAGTTTATTGACAGCTAAATGTATTGATTTATCTTTATTAATCGGCCACAGTTCGTATTTCAAGGAAGTAATCAAATACTATTGTCAATTCAGTCCGGTATCCGGTTAATAGAGGTTTTTACAATAGAAATTCTCCAAATACAATTTATTTTAGTGTCCGCGCCTGCTTAATAGAGGTGTCCGCTGAGTATGGATTCGTTATAAAAGGTAATATGAGACGTTAATTTTGGAGCCCCGCTTAGTGTCCGCTTAATAGAGGGTATCCGCTTAATTGGGGCTCCGCATAATAGAGGTTTCACTGTATATAACAATACTAGTTACGTCTAAAACATTTGATACGTTAGACCACAATTGTCTTCTAAGGAAGTTACGTCATGTCACGTCACGCCGTTTTCACGGACTGGTTTATTTTTGAACACATTATAAAGCACTTTTCGCGCGAAAAATGGAATCTCTGCTCCGTCTATGAACGCATTCGAAGCCGAAGATGTAAAAAATAGGGAAACTAAATGTCTTTAAATGGTCAAAAGTATCATTTTAGGTCTGAGATTTGCTGACTGGTTTGTGGGGTTCAAAAAATATTCTAATCGCGCCAAAACCGTTCTGAAATTAAACTGGTGGGTAAAAGTGCCGTGACAAAAGTACATGAAAGTTGCTCGCTCTTGCTTATGGACTTTTGGTTGCGTAGAATTGGCCTGATACAATCGGCAGTTTTCCAGCTATCTATCATCTAAAATTCTGAGGGTCCGCAACGAAGGTTCCATCTCATGGTTACTTCCTTTAGAACGTGGGGTACCCTAAGGTTCAATTCTGGGTCTAGTTTATTCACTATGTTGATGATTGACCTTACTAATGAAATTAATAACAGTCAAATCAAAATGTACGTAGATGCTTGCCAACTGTTATTTTAAAATTCGTATGGATCGTTTACACGTAATGTCACGATGAGAATATTGTGGTGTACAAACAATGGAACGGCGGCCATGTTGGTGTACCAGAAAAATTATGTGGGTATTGAACTCTTTTAAAATAGACCTCCTTCATAATGGCGGCCTATTAATATATTCTTTTTTATGTATGATAATTAGCCTTTCTGACCTCGTCACGAGGTCACAGAAAGGCTAATTATACACACAAAGATCCTTTGCTTGGCTAATCGAGGCGGGCAGAGAAAAGGGAAAATAAAGGAAGATGTATCTATGCAAATGACACAAGAAGGTATTACAAAACAACGTTACAAAATTATAAAATTATTTTACATTTCATGTCATCTTGCTTGGTTTTTTAATAAAAGTAGGTGTGTCAAAATAAGGGAGGGGGGTGAATAGGGGTATGCAAGTCCGCCGATCCGCTTATGATTTATTAACCAAATCCGCCGTTAACATTTCGCCCTGAATCCGAAATCCGGGCAAATAAAATGTTTTAATGACACGCAAAGTCGAAAATCCGGGCCCAAAAAACAGATGAACCCGCAATCCGCTGCAATTGCAAGATCAGGAAATCCGTTAAAAGCTCCCTTTGATTCCGAAAATTTTCAAAATCCGCCGATGCGTTCGCCTATTCAACTCCCTCATAAGTATTCTCCAATTCTAAAATACGTAATTCCGCTGTTTACCGTCGCTGCACGACTAACCCACAACGAATCCAACATGAATGTTGTAACGTTGCCACGCGATCCTCTCGACCCCAGGGCTTTTTCCATAAAAAAAGCCCGGGAACGAGGTAATGATGCATCACAAACATTGTTTCTGTTGTTTAAATGCATAACAAGTGAAACAAAAGAATCTTGTGTTTCCAGAACCGATGCGCTTCTGGTTGGCACAGGTGATGGAAGTAAGCTTGAGTATCGCAGATCTGGGACGTTGGGAAAACTCTCGGACTCACGCCTAATGTATCGGTCAAATCGAAGCTTCAACATGCCCCCCCCGGGCAACCCCCGGGCATTTGACTTTTTTGAAAATTATTGTTCAAATTCCCCCCTTCCCGGGCCAAAATGCCGTTCAAATGCCCCACACTAGGGTCCATTCAGGTGATCAAATGGTCCCACCCCGGGGACATTTCACAGGCACAAAAATGACACAAGGATGGCGGAAACGCCTTCAGTTGTCGAACAAAATCTTTATAAATATAACAAAAACTGAGCAACACTGTTAGCGTATTTACTACGAACAAAAGTCTCGTGCAAAGCGGCGGAAATCGCTGCTACAAGGTCACTGAATGCTCTGCTTTTCTTCGTCATGCAACATACAAAGCGTTCTATAGAAACAGATCCCACCTATTGAGATTACTACATCATGACCATTTCATTGACATGCATCATCGCTCACCTTATTATTTACTATACTTGCAGTAGGTAAAAGTAGTTGACCGTTTTATTTTATTTTATTTTATGTTGTTGTATTGAATCGCCGGTATAGGTATTGTATTGTAAACACAACATTAAAATACATTCATACATTCAAAGCCTGAATCCAATATTAAAAATTTTGAAATTTAAATACTTCAAATACGGAACAAAGCTTGTTTAAGCCCTTTCCTCGTAACCAATTGGCCACAAAGGCACAATCTTTTCCACGAAAATCCTCTAACACCGCGTCCCCCGTGACACAGGCGGCCCAAACTTATTACATGAACGCGGACGTGACTCTTGCTTGAGAGCGGTGTTGTGTTACAAACGGTTATTTAAAAACATAACATTTTTTATCTCTTTTAAGAAAAACCGATCGATCCCATACAAGCCTTTGTAAATAACCGTTTGTAACACAACACCGCCCGCAAGCAAAAGTCACGTCCGCGTTCATGTAATGAGTTTGGGGCGCCTGTGCCCGTGATAGCTCGCCACGCCAAAGATTTTACATGAAATCGAGGGTGCAGTTCAAATTCCCCACCCCTAAAGTATGGGGATCAAATTCCCCACCCCCTGGAAGACTCTGATAATCAAATTCCCTCCTCCCCGGGACGGCAAAAGTGTCAAATGCCCGGGGTATGCCGGGGGGGGGGCATGTTGAAGCTTCGATTTGACCGATACATAATCCCTTGAGGGCTCTCACATAAGATTTGACTACAATATTCATGTTCGTTTTGAATTCATCGGTCAGCTGGTGTGAGGTATGAAACTAAGAATCTTCGGAGCCGCTTATATCTACTCGGGAAGCCATCGGATCTTCCGAACACCTCTCCCCAATAGTGGGCTCCAGGCCTCACACCAGCTGACCGCGAAATTCAAAATGACCGCCAAATGAAAACAACTTTTCACACATCGTCAAAGTGAGCAATCTTTATTTTTTTAAAAATATTTCCTTTCGGGTGTGATAGACCCACGTGCTTAACTTCGTCAAAGGTCAGAAGACTATCCAAAGATTTCTTGGCTCCAGACCTCGAAATACTGACTTGCTGACTGCAAAATTCAAAATGGCCACCAATGAAAACAAACTCTACGCACCCGCATCACCAAAGTAAGTGAATATTCATAAGAATTAAACATTAAAGAGAGGAGTGACTGCAGTTACACCTCGCGAGGTTTTGCGAGTCTTACGAGACACGCGAGTCACTTATTTCTAGTTCTAGAATTCGAATTTCGATTCTATTGTCAAAGGGTCATGGATGAATAGCTGAAGACAGGTTACGGGATTGGTCGAGAGTTCCATGATCGAGTTCTAGAAGGCGGAAGTAGGTCGAAGTACTCGTTGTTACAAATTTTGTTAAGCACATTCATTTGCTTTTGCTCTCTAAACGAAATGGCGTCAACTTCAAAGACAAAAAAGACCAAAGGAAGTTTAGCTACATTCTTACAGACCTTATGGGCAATGGTTGACGATGAAGATGAGATAGAGAAATGCAGTAAATACATATCGTGGAATGAGGTATCTTAATTGAAGCATCAAAGCTTACTGTTTCATAATACTTCTTTTCTTACTGACCTGCACGCCTCGTTTACAGTTTTTTAAGCTGTATTAAAATGATATAGAATGATTCAACTTAATGATGCTTTAAGCTTATTTCACATTCCCTATTTTTTGCAGAGTGGAACTGGTATCATA